TGTGTTAATCATCCATGCAGACACACGTCTGTAGTCATGTTCACCGAGTGCTAATAGGAGGAGTGGTTTGTAATCTATTTAATTTTGATTCTCATTGCAACGTTAACCATTCTCCAGCCAGTGAGATTAAATGGTAATCTTACTGTGTACCTAGTAAGTCACCAATAACTGCTCATGGGAGAAATGGGGAAACACAGTGATCTGGTTTAATAAGGATTTGTACTCAAGGGTTTATATACTCAAAAGACCAAACTCACTGCCGTAGCTGTTTCCAGCTCTATAGTAAAGGACAGTGTGTTGTTGTTGTTGTTTTCATGTGCCGTGGTGGAGTAGGTTCCAACTCACAGCGACCCTGTACAGGGTTTCCGAGACTTTAAATCTTTACGGGAGCAGAAAGCCTCATCTTTCTCCCGTGGAACAGCTGGTAGTTTCAAACTGCTGACCTTGGGTTCGCAGCCCAATTCATAACCACTACAACTCGACGGCACTTAACAACAACAACAACAACGCTACCAGAGCTCCGTAAAGGACAGCGTAGTACTGCTCAATAGGGTTTCCAAGATTGTAAATCTTAGGGGAATAGACAGCCTCATGTTTCTCCCAAAGAGCAAGCTGCTGATGGGTTAGATCGGCCTTTCAACTAGCAGCTCAATGCTTAGCCCACTGTGCCATCAGGTTTCCTTAGGGTTTATATGTTGTTGTTTTAAATGCTGTCAAGTTGGTTCTACCTCACAGCAACCCTGTATAAGGTTTCTGAGGAGGGACTGGTGGGTTTGAACTGCCAGCCTGGTATTTAGCAGTCCAGTACTTATCCTGCAGCACCATGCCAGGACCCCTAGGGTTGATACAAGTGCTGTTGAGTTGGTTCCAACTTCGAGTGAATCCTGTATAGGATTTCCAAGGAGCGCCTGGTGAATTTGAACTTCTAACTTTGCATTTCAAACCAACCTTGTGATCCATCCAGTACATTACCCCGCAGTGCCAAACAAAGTTTATATGTTGTTTCAAGTGCCGGCGAGTCAGTTCTGACTCAAAGCGATCCTGTATAGGGTTTCCGTGGAGCAGGAAGTGAGCTTGAACCACCAACCTTGTGGTTCAAACTGACTTTGCAGTCCAGCACATTAACTCACAGCGCCACACAGGACTCCAAGTTTATATAGTAATTTATAAATATATCTGTATCTTTGAAAGAATTGAGATAATCTTCCGTCTCTGAAAAAAAAAAAAGAAACCTCTTATGTAATTAAAAACTTATGTAAGAAAAAGAGGAACTTCAATCCCTCTTATTTGCCTTAAACCACCCCTGTACATGTACTTCGAATTCCCTGTCTCTTCCATCTTTCCCTTCCCTCACCCTCCAGAGTTGAAAATCTCAATATTAATTGGCACTAAGATGATTGTACTGCTGCTGGTAAGATGTAGGCAGGTCTCTTGCAAGTTAATGTCACTGCATGGGGTCCGTTTGCTCTGTGCAGCTATTCTACAGTGCAGCGAAAATGCCTTGATTAATATGCTACATGAAAATAAAATGGATTTAGAAAAAAAATCATACCATACTCTCATAAATATTAATTCACATTTGTATGGAATTGCACATAATTTTCAATATACTTTGGAGACACCTTCAGTATGCAAGAAGACTTGGTCTTCAAAGAGAGTGGCAATTTTTTTTTTTTTTAAAGCACAGGTGATACATTATTAAATATAATTTGTTTATTAATCTGATACTCTACATGCATATAATACAAGGCAATAGATGGGTTGTGTGACAAAGAATAGGGATTTTTTTTTATTATTATTATTATCCTGTAGGGAATATATGTAGTCCTGGAATGGCACCGCAAGATAAGTCCTGGGTTCCAAGGTGGCAGTTCAAACCCAACAGTTGCTCCTATGTAGGGTTTCTATGAGTCAGAACTGACTCAACAGCACTCAACAACAATAAGGGAACATGTGTCTTACCATTGTTTTTGTTGTTAAGTGCCGTCAAGTATACAATTTCATCTTAATATATAATATATAGAAATAAGGAGCTCTGGTAGTGTAGTGGTTATGAATTGGACTGTGAACCTTAAGGTCAGCAGTTTGAAACTACCAGCTGCTCCACGGGAGAAAGATGAGACTTTCTGCTCCCGTAAAGATTTACAGCCTTGGAAACCCTGTACAGGGTCACTATGGGTCGGAACCAACTTGATGGCACTTAACAACAACAACAACATATAGGAATAGCCCCCGTGGAACTCGCCTGAGTCCTCCTGCAAGAGTTGCTATCACTCCTGAGGGTCTTTTCAGGAGAGCTGACAACTTTGGTTAGTGTTAGGCTAAACACAGAGTATTTTGAACCGAGCAGATGTGTAACACAGTTGATTGTGGCAGTGGACTCTGGTCAAAGACATTTATTGAATATTCTCCATGTGGTCAGCAGACTGTGCAAGGATCTGGGACTTGGCAATCTGGTACCACATGGCCCTTGGTCCCTAAAACACATGTCTACCACATTCTCCTTATCTCAGCAGAGCTACCTTTCCTGGAAAAGAGGGTACTCATCAGCGGTGCTAACAACCAGAGGTTAGACCGGAGCCACTCACTTGCCTTATTGAATGGCATCTTAGCTATCTGCTTGATCCAAGGACAAGGTTTTTACCTCTTCTCTGGGCATCTTGCTGTTTCCTGTTAGCCTTCAAGTGGGCCCTCAGTGCCCACCAGGCTTCTCATGGCCTGCTTCTCTCAGCTTTTCTAATGGTCTTTGCTGCGTGTTAGAGGTGCTTTGTGGACCTAGCTCCCTGTTAGGATGTTGGTTCTGAGCTCTCTGCCCAGTTACCTTGTTTGACTTTGATTTATTGTAAGACGCCATTGAGTGAGTGTAACTCATAGGGACCCTGCCGACAACAAAATACGTTCAACAGAATGAAGTCATGCTTTGTGCCCTCCTCACAATCACAATTGTTGCTGTGCTTGAGCTCATTATTGCAGTCACTATGTCAATCCATCTTGAGGGGTCTTCCTCTGTTTGGGTTAACCGCCCCCCCCCCCCCCACACACACACACACACACACTTTACCAGCATGATGTCTTTCTACAGGGTTGGCCCCTTCTGATGACGTGTGCAAAGGATGGGAGATGAAATCTCACCATCTTTTCTTCTAAGGAGCATCCTGGCTGTGCTTCTTCCAATGCAGTTTTATTTATTCTTCAGGAAGTCCATGGTACTTTCAGTAATCTTTGCCAACACCATAATTCTAATGTGTTGATTCTTCTGTGGTCTTATTTGTAAATTATCTTTCACATGCATATGAGGTGATTGAAAATACCATGGCTTGGGTCAAGTGCCCCTTAGTCCTCAAAGTAACATCTTTGCTCTTGAACACTTTAAAGACGTTGTATGCAGCAGATTTGCCTAATGCAATCTGTCATTTGATTTCTTGACTGCTGTTTCCATGAATGTTGATGTTTGATCCGAGTAAAATGAAGTCTTTGAGAATTTCAATCTTTTCTGCATTTACCATGGTGTTATTTATTGGTCCCGTGGTGAGGAGTTTTTTTCTTTACACTGAGGTGCAATCCATTCTGAAGGTTCTAGTCTTTGAGCTTCATAAAGGAGCTTTGCAAATTATTTATAGTTAGCTAACATAGCCCTGGTGTGGAGCTGTGGGCTAATTAGTCAGACTGCAGAGCTGTTGGAACGGCAAGGTTGGTGGTTCAAGCTCACCTGCTGCTCCTCGGAAACCCCATACAGGGTCGCTATGGGTCAGAATCGACTTGACGGCACTTAACAACAACAACATATATTGTTAGCATTTATATAGCAAGTATGTCTTGATCGACTTCTGTGTGAGACTGTTGCTTCTGTGTGAGAAATCATGGGGTTACAGAGATGCACCCTAATGCTACCAGCTGCCTCAGGGTCACTAAGCTGTCTAATCTGCCCTGACTGTCAGATTTGGGCCTATAGGTATCATTTTCTCAGCCGCAATCTCTTCCCTTGGACCAGACCATCTCCCTCATTTGTAACACCTTTTGGCACTGTGGTATAAACACTGGACTGCTAACCAAAAGGTTGATAGTTCAAAACCACCAGCCACTCCTTGGCAACCCTGTACCAGGATTGCTGTGAGGCAGAATAAGCTCGATGGAGCTTAGCAACAGTAGTTTTCTTTACAGCAGTTTGTTTAGTTTGCAATTTATGTATTTGTATGATGTGGTTAGTACTTGCCTGTTCACGATCTTATACTATGAAATGACAGTGCCAGGGTTTGAACTTGGGTCTAGTAATAGCTTCTTGTGTCCTAAGTTGACTGTAGGTACAGAGTTTTATCTGGCCACGTAGCCTGTGATGGTTATCTGCAGTTTACTCCAGGACATCCCTTGATCTTCTCCCCTTCCTCCCCCATCCACACAGTAGAAATAATGAAAACAGACTGTGGATCTTGGTGATGATATTGTTGTTACCTTTTGCAGAGAAGAGGGGAATTAAGGATACTCAGAGGAAATGTGGTAAAAACATAATGCATTAAGGAATCATTTTAATCATCGAAATTGACAGTTGCTTTCTTGCTGGCTTACATCCAGTTGGCCCTGGTATGTTAGCCTTGTGTTATTTCTTTAGAATCGAGCGCGCACTCACTACTCCTCCTCTGAAGCACAATTGACATGCCAACTGGGAAGTGAGTGTATTTGAGCCCCTTGGGAAGCGTCATTGTGTACTGGACCCAGCACAGACTCAAGTGGAAAGCCATGACCCATGCTATAGGGAAATCACTTTTAATGGACAAATATTGGTGTTTTGTTGCATTTTCGGTCCAATAAGACTCAAAAGGATATATTTGTGGTAGTATAATTGATTCACAAAATGGAATGCCTTGTTTCTTACTTTGCGGCATTTTCCTATCCCAATTCACTGCCTTTTTTCTTATCCCCATCCCAACCTCAATTAGCCTATGTTTTGGGTCTGACCTTAGATAACTGTGTAACCCCCACTTTTCTTTGCTTGGTTTCTGCAGAAAGATGTAGCACTTAAGCCTCAGGAACGTGTGGAGAAACGCCAGAGTCCTCTCACCAAGAAGAAACGAGAAGCGCTGACCAACGGCTTGTCCTTTCACTCCAAGAAGAGCAGGCTCAGGCACCCACATCACTACAGCTCGGATAGAGAAAATGACCGCAATCTCTGCCAGCACCTCGGGAAAAGGAAGAAAACGCCCAAGGGACTCAGACAGGTGAGAACACTCGGCTGCCGCGCTCTTTTCTGTGACCTTGGACTTTTTGCAGGTCCTTCCTCACAGGCGGAGACGATGTCATTGGATGGATGCTAGAGGCGGCTTCCTTGGAGAGTTGTGTGGTTGTTTGAACTCTGAGAATGCAGAGCCAAGAATGAGTGGGTTTTGTTTGTGTGTTTGAATGGTTGTAAACTTCAAGTGGGCCCTCCATATGTGGTGTAGCAATGTTGACACAGAGGCTGCTGGCTGACTCAGAGGTAGGACAGACTCCAATTTGTGTGATTGTCAAGTTAGAGTGGTTTCTAGCACACATGGAACAGGCAGATTGGATCACAAACATTGTGCACCTCAAACTTCTGAGATGCTAAACATGGTGGTCTGTTGGCCAATACAACCTTAACTAGTAAGCCTATTTTCCATAGACACTGTGTGCTGACAGGCATGAGACAAGTGATAAAGAAATTTACCACTTGGGGTTGTCACTTTTGTGATCTGCTGATTGTCTTGATGTCTGGCAGTGGGATTCACTGGCCAGTCAATAATTAGGTTGCAGTGATCCTGAAGGGAAAAGAGAAAAACCCAAAACACTTCAGCTTGTGGAAATCCCCACACGATAGATTCAACAATGAGACGTGAAACTGTTTATGACAATTTTCCCACACAAATCCAGGGCTTTAGTGCTTGCTGAGTACCTGTGTCCGGCCTCTGTTTGGTTTGTTTTGGGAGGGGCTGTTGGGTAGCATTTGATGATCACGTGAAGGAAATAAAGGAAGGGAATGTGGCACACAGAGCAGGTGATACTAATCAGAAGCTGAGCAGATAATTTCGGGTTTGTAGCTGTTTCTCCAAGGAGGGTTAAGACCTGGGCTCCCATAAAACAGTGATTCTCAAACCTCCCCAATCATTAGACTCATACCAGGGACTTTATTAATCAACAGTGGCTGGTCACTGCTTACGACCTAATGAATTACAGTCCTAAGAGGGTCAGACCTTAGAATTGGTTGTTTTCCAAAGTGTCCTTTTTGATGATGAGTATGGTCTGAGAACCACTCTGGTAAAGCAGCAGGCGTATTTTGGGTGATGAGTTTTGGATAGAAGATGGGAGGGACCAATACGATCTTGGGGAAGTTTGGTGTCAGAGTTAAAACTGATGGTAATGAAGGAGATGCCCCCCGAGGACGCATCCACAGTGATGAAGTCAGTATAGACTCAGAAGGATTCCAGGACCGTATCCCCAAATGTGACAAACAGGGCAATGTTTCCAAAGGTACAAGACTGGGGTTACCATAGTAATTGTTAACAAGTACCCAATACACAGCCTGCTTCAGCCCTTCACCACTTTATAACCCGTCATCCTTGTGACAAGCTTTTCAGTTGGAACTATTTAATATTAATTTTAACAGATGTGCAACATGGAGCATAAAGTTATAGCAGCGTGCCTGAGGTCACTTCGCAGTGAAAGAGTGCCAGGTCACTGTAGATCAGGGAGTCTACAAGCATTTTTGGAAATTGCAAGAGTACTTTGGTCAGAAGGAGTGACCTAGGTCATAGAAACAACCCATGAAGGTACAAGAAGAAAGAAGAGCAATTCCTAAGGAAAGGTGGAAAAATGGAAAACAACTAAATTTAGATGAAAGTTATGTAGGGCGAGTGAGAAGGAAGGAGACAGGACTTAGTTCTACAAAAAGTGATAGTGTATTGACTCCTAATTTTTGTCTGTCTCTGTGAGGCATGTGTTGTTGTTAAATGCTGTTGAGTCAGTTCCGATTCCTAGCACCGCTGTACAGCATGGATGGGAAACCTTTTTCAGCCAAAAATTATAACATCATTCATGGGTCATATAAAAATATCAGCTTAAAAATTAGCCTGCTCTGTTTGGTCAAACATTTCATTAACTCACCCCTAATGAGTCCTGGTGTGGTGCTGTGGGTTAATGTGTCAGACTGCAAAGCTGTTTGAACTGCAGGGTTCAACCTCACCAGCTGCTCCTTGGAAACCCTATACAGGGTCGCTATGGGTTGGAACGGACTCAATGGCACTTAACAACAACAACAACAGTGAGTCCTAGTGTGGCACTGTGGGTTAATGTGCTGGACTGCAAAGTCATTTGAACTGTAAGGTCAGCGGTTCAAGCTCACCAGCCGTTCCTTGGAAACCCTATACAGGGTCGCTATGGGTTGGAACGGACTCAATGGCACTTAACAGCAGCAACAACAGTGTGGATCTCTGGGTCCATACACTGGACGGCAAGGTCGGTTGAACCACAAACTAGGCAGTTCAAGCTCCCCAGCCACTCCTAGGAAACCCTATACAGCGAGTGTCACTATGAGTCAGACTATCTTGACAGAATTTAACAACAGAAACAACAAATGTGATGGCTGGAATTGCAGTTGCTTTGGCAGGGCCAGATCAAATGGTTCTGTGGGCCTTATATGGCCCGTGGACCTGTATGTTCCTGCTCCTGCCGTGTAGTGCCTTCAGTAAGTGACTGGTAGGCTTACATTGCCTACTTTGTGGTTAGCAGCTTATCCTGCTGTGTGTGAGGCATGTGTTTTTGTTGTTTGTTGTTAGGTGCCATAGAGTCCATACCGACTCATAGTGACCTTATGTACAGCAGAACGAAACGCTGCCCAATCCTGGGCCAACCTCACTACTGTTGCCACGTTTGAGTCCATCAATGCTGCCACTTGGCCAATCCATCTCATTGGGGGTCCTCCTTTCCTTCTTTGACCCTCCACCTTACCAAATGTGGTATCCTTCTCCAGTGACTGGTCCCTCCTGACAATATGTCCAAAGTATGAGAGATGAAGTTTGGTCATCTTGGCCTCCAAGGAGCACTCTGGCTGTCCTTCTTCCAAAACGGATCTGTTGGTTCTTTTGGCAGTCCATGGCACTTTCAGTATTCTCCTCAAATACCGTAACTCAAAAGCATCAATTCTTCTATGGTCTCCCTTATTCACTGTTCAGTTTTCGCATGCATATGAGGTTATTGAAAATACCATGGCTTGAGTCAGGTGCACCTAAATCCTCAAGCTGACATCTTTGCTCTTCAACACTTTAAAAAGGTCTTGTGCAGCAGATTTGCCTAATGCAATACGTCTTTTGATTTCTTGACTGCTGCTTCCGTGAGTGTTGATGGTTGATCCAAGAAGAATGAAGGCCTTGACAACTTCTAGAGGCTAAAACATAACGACTGTTTTTCCCCATGTCCTCTCTCCCAGTGGGTGGGTGAGTGGGGGGGAGGGTCCTTCTTACCCCTTCAGACAAGCAATCAGATTTCATTAGGACCTAGGCTGAGGGTCTTTATCCATGCATTTATGTCTTTCTTTTCATCTTGACCTTTCTCTGTCTCTAACATTCTTCTTTCTATTTGATGACACACTAGGGTTTCAAGGTCCTCAGGTGAAAGAGTTCAGGATCATAGAAGAAGACTAGCACCTGTGTGTTTCCAGTTGGAATAACTTTCGGTCCTCTTTGGTGAACCTCCTGGTGCTAATGATGTTTGAAATCAAAACCATCCTTTTCAGAGGAAAAACACTTGAAAAGTCAGTTCTTTTGACTCATTCTTTATGAATCGTGGAGAAAGACAGGATGCCTTGTAATCTTTAGCTGATGAGAGGGTTTTAGAAACGAGTGTTTCCTCATTATCAGTGCTGCAGCCAACATTCTATCCCAACCAAGATAGTACTTCCTGAGAAGGTGAACTAGTTATCTAAAGTAAGGCCACAATACCTTTTTACAATTTTCTTAAAACTTCATTTTTATTTATTTTTTTTTTTACAATTTTAATTAATATTTTATACTTTTGAAATTCTCATAATACTTTTTACAGTTTTCCTAGAGTAACACACGCAGTGCTGAAACCGTAAAGCAATCATCTGTCAAATGAGGGTTGGGATTAGATTTCTCAGAATCCTTCGAGTGCCATAATTCTCTACGTTGATGAATAGTAGATACATTTTGTGTTCTACCCACCTGTAAAGGGAAGACCCTAGTAGATCTGAATGTAATTAAAAAACAACAACAACATTGAGGTGAACTAGGTTAGGGTTACAGATCAGTTTTCCATTCAATAAGTCATACACATTTTGTTTATGTTATTGGTTGCAAACCCTACAATGTAACATCACTTATCCCACTGCTTCCTGGGTTTCCTGTTTCAATTCCTTCTTCTTTCTTAATCCTTATGTAAATTCAGCCCTTGTGATTTAAAATGATTGGTTATTCTAAAGAGTGCATACCCCTCCAGGTGTCCTCCTTATACACTGGTCTGTTGTTTGGCTGACAGTTGAACCATTGAGGGTGTGGGGGTTGTGGTCCATTCCAGGCCTGAAGGGTGACTGAGGGCCACAGTTTCTGGACTGATCATTTTATTTCTGAATTTGTGAAGACATTTAAAGGATCAGGAGTAAAACGCAATCCAATGGAGAAGGAGAAACTTGCTTCATCTTGTCAGTCTAGCTAAGCACCATCTCTTGTGTGATCCTTCTGTAAAGATGGTGCACGAGTTTTTAACCGTCACAGGAAATTAAAAGAAAAAAATTGCCCTAAGAATATTTCAGGTTGCTTTCCTTTGAATTGAGCTGCCCATACACACCATACCTACTTTTCCTCTCACCATTTTCTTCTATCAGATAACGTCATTCAATCTGACTGTCTTTGCTGGGAGGGGGCAGCACACTGAGAGTGGGCCTTGGGGGAGAATTTAAAAATTAATGGGTTGTTGTGTAGGCCTCTTATTGAAGGTGTTACAGATGGCAGCATTACCGATGAAAGAGGACAGAAGGAGGTGAGAACGTAGTCTTTATTTCTGACTTGGTGACAGTGGATTAGGTTTGCATCTTATTAGGAAATGGTACTTCCTGAGCAAGCAGCTTAATGCACAGCTTCCCTGTAATTATGGGAAGATGTTACTCCTTAGTGGAGAGGAAATAATAGGATTTTTTTTTTATCCCTGAGACTCCATTGAGGACTAATCTTTTTACCACGAGAGTGCAATT